ATGTTTTTAAATATCATATTTTTTACACTCTGATTACATTTTTTAAAATCGTAACTAATTTTATATAGTGTCTGAAATATTATTTTATATATCTTCTTGTATTTTTATGAAGTTGAGGTAAGAAAATCTAAGTAAAATATAGAAAGAGCTTAATGAAATTAAAGATTCATCATAATATAGAATTTTTTAAAAATAAAGATGATAAAAACGCATGGGCGGAAATTATTTTATTTTATAAGCATATTTGTATATTTCTCTGTTTGCAAAAGATGTATTTTATTTTTTTATATATATTCCAATCTCTATGAATGGATAATCGTGACTATTCTACAAAAAATAAATAAATAATCAAAATTTATTCTTTAAAATTTAATTTCTTATGCAATTAACAGATATATTTAATTACATAAAAATGCTAAATTAAACGTTATTTCTATCTTCATTTTGTTCAGAAGAAGTTTTAAATACATATTATTGCATTGCCATGTGCTAATAATGTAGAGAACCACCAACAGGAATAAGATGAATAAAACATGAAATCCCATTATCCTTATGCGCATACAAAGTGTAAAGCCCAAAAGTGATTTTGGTACTAATTGATTTTAGGAACTATGTGTTGGCGACTTTTTTTTCACATATCTTCGTCTATATGAACATTGATATATATATATATATATGGCAATTGGTATGGCAATTGGTAGCAAGACAAACAAATGCTTTTGATTCTAATTTCAAAATAAAAAAAAGTCTATATTATAAACTAATGGTATAATTTAATAAATTTCATATCTAAGAATAATTCATGCAAAATACAAAGTAATCTAAGAGCTATATATGCATTCATAGAACCGTACTTAAAATTAAACGCTCAACATAATTGAATTAAGTATAAAATATAGCTTTTTGTTTCGAATGCAATAGTCCAAAAGAATTCTTTCTTATTTGACTATAAAATAAATTCTTCTATTATTCATTATTTCACGAAGAAATATCCATTTGTTAAAATATGTTAAATATTTTAAAAATATAAAAATATTTAAACTTTTCTCGTTGAAATTTCAGGGAAGAAAATGCGGAATTGAGATTTACGAATGATCTACTGACTCGAGAACTTGAAAGAGTCAACAAAGAGAACGAAAGATTGCAGAAAGAAAGGTAGGAAGCCAACCATTGATTATGACACTTATTTAATTATTATTTATTAATGTTTTTACAAAGTCATTAGTTTTTGAAAAACATCAGTTGCTTTGCAATGAATTGAACTGCAGACATGATCCATAAACAGAATTTTGGTTATGAAACTTTATAAACATACATTTAAAAATCCTTTTTAAAATATAAAAAGTAAAAAACCTCAGGTGATCAAGCGTATTGTTTCAGATAATAATTGGGGTGATCGATAGCTTTTTTGGTTGTTGAAGTTGAGTTTCATCGTTGAAGATTGTAATGCTTACGTACAATTAAAAAAGAGAAGGTTATTCACTGAAAGGAAAATATTTCATAAGCCAACAAAGTCTTCGAAAAAAAAAGAAAAGAAAACAGTCGACTTCCTTTCTATAAATGTTTTGAAATGTTCATTATGTTGTATACGCCTGGAGATAGAGCGCTTCACTTCCAAAAAGAGAATAGGTTCGAATCGAAGCGATGGCTGGTCATTTCGCGTGGATGGTTGACTGAATGAATGTAAACAATAACAAAATCCTTAAACCGGAAGAAATTTAGAAAACTTCCGGTGCATCCCTCCGCTTATGGTATGCCTACGAGGCGATGAGTGAACAGGCTTAATATTCTATGAAGTTTTATAATTTTGATTTGTGTTTAAATTTACGCGTAATTTTACCATTCATAAGAGTTCCCAGTAATTTACAAATTTTAACTGATTGTGAGCCTACAACAAATTTAAGAAAATTAATATCAAAAGATAAATAAAGTGTAAGGTTTGCCATGTTTTGAGTGTTATCCCTCATTTGGCTACAGTTGTGCAAAATATCACCGTTTGTAATATTTTTTGGGTTGTATCATAGCATGAATGCGGAGTCTTCGTTTCTAATTCGTTTGATGAGATTTGAATTTAAAGAACGCAATACATTGTAAACACAAGCATAATAACATTGAGTGACATTCTTTTTCAAGGTTAGGCATACTAATCAATCGGAAGTAGTAATTCGGAAATCTTTGCTATGAATTTTTACCCCTAGGGCCATCTATGCTTAGCCTTATACGGTCAACCATCCATACGGCTCTCCGTTAACACCTTAACAATATCCCTAGTGAAAATATCGCCTGTGATAGATTGATTATGGATTTAAGTGCTCTTAGCATGGAGTTAACCATAGGGGGGTCACCATGGTTTTCTTCTCTGTCAAACACAATTGAGATAGCACATTCAAAAAATCCTCCACAAAGACAAGTTTGTCCCAACGCTTGTCCTTTAAGTTAGTTTAAAGAATACGAATACGAGCATTGATATAGCCCCAAAACTCTATTGAACGTCTTTGGTAAAGATGAGATGAAATGTTTCAGGACGAGGTCGGCGAGGCAGAGCAGGAAGACAGACAGCATAACTGCCGCCAGGGCAGTTCTCGGTTCTTCCGACTCCCTCATTGACTCCAACACGTGGAACAACGGATCTTGGAAGTCTATACTCGATGCCGATGAAGAGGTAAGAACTTGTCTCGTTCGAATCCTTATCACTGACCATATCCTAGTACACAATGTTTCTTACAGCAAAAAACCTCATTTTTCAATACTGTTGGGTTATTTTATAGTACTATGCGTCGACATAGTTTTCGATTCGAATCATCACTGTAAGGATGAATATAGCAGACATTAAGTATGGCTTTATTGCGGAGTAAACAACTAAGCCAAATAATCCGTTTTATTTTATTACCGAATACGGTTTCATGTGTTGATTGGTGGGTCTTAACTTCACAACCTTTGGTTCCATATAAGAATTCTAGTCAATCCGACAAATAAACAGTTGTTTCAAAGATCTTTAAAACAAAACATTAAAAATGACAGACTATTCCGCCAACCTGCAAAACAAATTATTGAAATCGACAGAATTTTTGACAACCTGTAAAACAAAATATAAAGAATGACGGACATTTTCGTCAACCTGTACAATAAAGTATTAAAAATAACGGCATTTTTCGACAAGCTGAGTAAAATAAAATATTGGAAACGGCTGACTTTTTTGTCTACTTGTAAAACAAACTAAAACTATTAAAAATAACTGAACTTTTCGTCAAGCTAAAAAACAAAATATTAAAAATGATTGACTTTTTCGACAAGCTGTAAAACAAAATATTGGAGACGATTGACTTTTTTGTCAACGTGTGAAATAAATATAAAAAAGGAAGGGCATTTTCGTCAACCCGTCAACAAAATAATAAAATTAACTGCATTTTTCGTGAGACTATCACAAAGATTTTATATTGCCTATTATATTTCTGATTTTATACATTAATTTAAGGAATAATATAGAATTCTGCGTGATTACTGGTCAAAAGGAATTTTTAAGTTCAAAAATTTTTTTCTTGCACATGTATTTTTAAACAATAACAACTTTCTATTTTATTAAATTATAGATTGAACATTTAAATAATCTCAATAACAACATCACAAACAACCATCATCGGAACAACTTAAACAGACAAATGCAACAACAACTGACACCGGCAAAGAGAAAAGTTGGCAAAAGGTAAATATGTTAACATTTAGAGGAAAACACGAGTATGATTTCGAAATGTATTGAAATCGTATAAATGGCCATACTTATAACGAAAGTAAAAGTAGAAAGTACTCATACTTAAACTTCGTTACATTTTAAATGCAGTACTTTTACTTTCTTTTTCGATACTTTTTGGGGGAAGTATTTGTGACGAGAATGTCGGAAGAAATTGTTTTTTTTTTCTGACATTTTTTAAGTTTTCCTTTTCAAAAAAAAAACTTTTTTTCGAAATTTTTGAAGAAATTTTAATAAATTGAATGAATTAATAAATTTATAAATTGAATGAATTTAATATTCTTTAACAACTAACTTCCTTTTCTAAATATCTTTAAGGATCGCAATTTCCCAAAAAAGTAGAAAGGTACTTTATTTTCGTCACACTAAAGCTGCACAATGGATTACTGGCGACGGTCTGAGAAACATCCCCGAGGAGGAGTCGAAGACATACCATCGCAATTTTGATCCTCTGCAGAGGGGATGGCTCCTCTGCTTTGGTATCCGGACGACCTGCTCATGAAATCGAGCATTTTACGACAGAAACGCTTAACGATGGCCGATACCGCGCACTTTCGATCCATACGCAAACTGATCAAAGTGGTCACCCAACCACTTACTGACCGCAGTCAGTGATGCTAGACTTCGGTGTTCTACTGGGAACCGTGTCCTAACGATCAGTCTACTGCGGGACTTCCCGGCAGGTAGGGGGCGGTGGGTGGGAAGGAACGTGAAACGCTTACTCTAATGGATTTAATGAATTTTACCTATATATTAATGCAATTTTGTTTTACTTAATTCTTTAAAAATAATTGCAATGTTATCAAATTTAACAAATTAAATTGTTACTATCAATTCTGAAAGTAAAAACAAAATTTCTGAAGATTTAATAGTTTTATAATGAGCATCATTTGAAATCCCTTTTTATGTGCAGACATTAAATTTTGATTTCTCGTTTGGTTTCTTTCAACTTTCACTCTTTCAATAGAACTTAAGTAACATTTTCCTGCATTTTAAAGTTTTATACTTTTAAATTAAAACTCAATACATTTTAAATAAATTTTCCTTACATTTTTTAATGAGATTTGCGATAACTTTGAATTTTCGATTTTTTCGAAGCGTACTTTAAAATTGTCACATTTTTGTTTTGTATTTGTACTTTTACTTTTTACTCGTTACTTTTTAAAAGTAACGCTTCCATGTATGCAAGTAACACAACATATAAAAATAACAAAAGTTTTAAAATTATTTCTCAGCAACTAAGCAAAGCGATTTATTTGAAATTTTGTCCTTTAAATTCGCATAGTTCAACGTGATACAAAAATATTTATGAGTGAAAATTTAATTTTTTAAGAATTTTTATACACGAAACCTCGATGTTATAAAGGGAGACACTTGTGCTATTAAAAGATCATGGGTCTCAATATTTTTAAAACAATTCAGTTAAAATAATGTGTTTTGTAACATTTTAAAAGTTATATAAAATAAATTTATTTAAAAAAAAACATTGAATACAGAAAATGTCAATAGCTTTACTTTTTCACTTGTTTCACTGAAATTTTTCATCTTCCTTTTTTGACATATCTCATCCAGATGACTTTCAATATTTATTACAAATTTTCCATTCTTATTATCCACAGTAATGAACTCTTAAATGTCTTTCTGAATTCATTATATACACTATTTTATTCCTATATTCTTAATTCCGCCTCTAATCATCCCGCAGTGAACTGATCGTAAAGACACACGGTTCCCAGTAGAACACCGAAGTTAAGCATTACTGGGTGCGGTCAGTAAGTGGGAGGGTGAGCACTTTGATCAGCCTGCGTATGGACCGAAAGTGCGCGGTATCGGTTCTCGTAAAACTATTCTACCGATAAGTGCTCGACTTCGTACTCAGGTTGTCAGTCTATCAAAGTAGAGGAGCCATCCATCCCCTATGCAGAGAATCAAAATTGCAACTGCGTGTCTTCGGATCATCCTCATAGATGTTTCCCGGACTGTCGCCAATGGTCTATTGTGCAGCTCTAGTGCAACCTAAATAGAGCACATGCCTCTTATAATCCTGCCTATTTCCTATATTTTGAATCTCGTGTGTCTACTTCTTGAGAAATGAAAAGTTCAGACTATTTCTTTTCAAGCGTGGTCGTCATCTCTTTCTCATCAAAGTTTCAAGAAACGATAAAGAAAACAGTTCAAAAAAAGCTTTTAAAATTGAAAAAGCATTTGAAATTCGTCAGATATCAGGGGGGGGGATTTGGTGGTGATCAGATTTATTTCGTGAAATTGAGGGTTTTGGCTCGGCTAAAGTGTTTTGTTTTAATTTGTGACATTCTTCTGAAATTCTGATATTTTCGCTATATCGATAAATACGCGTCATTGAAGTTCGTGTTATCATGACTCTACTGTATTTATCAAAAGTTTTGTTAATATTATTATTAATAAATTGAGAAATAATAAAGAATTATTAAATCAAAATACGAAAATATACCAGTATATTAATATATACTGATAAATAGTAATATACCAGGGTGCTAAGCCCCAGTTTGCTGTCCCTTACCAACACTGATGTTCGCATTAATGGGATGCCTGCAAGTGGCGTAGTATGGGTATCTCGATCCTTATTTGTTGCTGAAACGCGGCATTTGTTTACGTTAGCAACTGTTCTTTCTATTCTATTTCGAGTAAGTCAAGCCCATCAAATATCAATTCTTTTAGGTGACAAATACTATATTCTTCAACAAAGATTATTTTATAATTCACTTTACGCTTCTAACTTAACACAACAACTTGCAAGCAGCCGTGTCAAACATAAATAAACTAATTATAAATCGAAGTACACGAAATAAAAATACATCATGGTTACAATAAAGTACCTAAATAATAAATCTAAGTTAAGTAAAACATGTAGACGAGAAGGAATAATATTTCAACTTATTCGGCGCTGTATTTAATAACTTCACTTTAATTAACATTTTAACTTAAGTGGAGAAGTTTAACTCAAATTTAATTTGCACTGACCACAGTGCTGACGTGAAATATCCTCAGTGGTAGACGGATCATGGGTTAGGGTCCCCTTGCCGTCAATGCTAACCGTGGGAGGTTCTCGTGGTCTACCTCTCCATGTAACGCATATGCTGGTTAGTTCTATCAAAAAGGCCTCCATGAAGGCAAATTTCTCCCAATACTTGATGCAAGAGTTTCTTTGTCTTCTGGATTATGATCAGAGGAACAATGCTACGGAGTTTAACATTAGTAGTCGTAAACCCATAAAATTGGGTCGGCTGTTCAACGACGGTTATAAAATAAAATAAAACAATCAGCTTAGCGGCCGGGATAGCCTGGTTGGTAGGGCTCTGGGCCCATGCCCAAGAGATCGTGGGTTCGATCCCTGCCTTCCGAAGACTCCCCGTGTAGTAAATGGTGACTGATGCAAGTAAAATCTGTCGGATCACAAACTCCTCCATGTTCCCATAACAAATCAGTACCTCTGGGGGTGCTGATTCAGGAGATTCCTTGTCTTCTGGATTGTTTCGAAATTACAAGGCTACGGAGTTGAACATTAGTAGTCGTATACCCAAAAATTGGGTCGGCTGTTCAACGACTAATATAAAAAAAATAAATAAAAAACAATCAACTTGCACTAACGTCATAGATTACACGTGTGGGTACATATGGTCTTCTTCTTCTTGAAGTGCAAGTTCCCAATTACAATAACGTAATGATAATGAATGTTAAATTTTATTTTTCAGCCTAGGTGATATTACCGAGAATCAGGATGAAAGCGAAGAAAAGAAACCTGTGGGTAGTCTACGGAGACAGAGGAGGAATTCTTGGGGAAGTGGCATCCCTAGACCCGTAGACAACAGCAGATCATCCAAATCTCCCCCACAATATACACCACCAGATCCAGAAGAAGCTGAACAAATGTTCGAAGATAGATCCACACCAGAAACATCCCCTCCCGGAACGGGAACCCCTGGTACCGGAACCAAACTCCCTCCTCTACTTTCTATGCTCATGCCCAAAAGAAAGTCGGGTGGGAAATCGAAAGCAAAAGGTACAGCCCACGCCTCCTTTTTGTTTACAGAGTGTTCTGTAATAGCTACTCTTATTATATATTTTTTAGAATCCTTTAAAAAAATAAACTGACTTTAGAGTATTGCAGATTTTACGGTGTTTTTTACCACGATTTTAGACTCTTAAAACTCGTAGTAAAGTTATTGTATGGTTTTTAAACTATGTATACCATCTAGCAGTAAAAACATTATCTAGTCTTTAAAAATCTCGATTTTTTAAAAAAAAAAGAAGTATTTAATTAAAATCACCGACCATGCAGCTTTGGAATATTGTTTCAAATATTAAAAAACTAGTCGTCTTTGGTGAAAAGCTTGGTCACCTTTTCAAATTATCTTGTAGAACATATAAAGTCCCGCAGTTGAGTGATCGTAAAGACATGGTTCCCAGTAGACACCGAAGTCAAGCGTCGCTGGATGTAGTCAGTAAGCGGGTGGGTGACCGCTTTGATCAGCCTGCGTAGGGACCGAGAGTGCGTGATATCGGCTCTTGTTTTAAACTGTTCTACCGTATAGCTCCTGCTTCACACCTCGTGGTTGCTGAAGCAGGGGTACCATCCCCTTGGTAGAAGATCAAAAATGTGATGGCATGTCTTTGGATCTTCCTAGGGATGTTACCCAGACCGTCGCTCATTGTGCATCTCTAGTGTGACGTAAATAAAATACATACAGCATATATATAAACGTTAGTGGTAATCAAGGCAAATGCGCAGCTCAACTTTATTTAAATATTCTAATTCTTCAACCCTTCTCTAATCCTTAAACCTTAATTACATGTAAACAATATATATTAACTAAAATATTTCATTCGCTAGCGTTTGTCCGAGGCTTTGCGCATGCAAATATACTTATATTTTAATTTAAATTTTTTTCAAGAGATGGCCGCGATATTGTCAAAGTTCTTTACGTATTGAATTTTAGTAATAATTTAAAATCTGTTCAGGTAGCCATTAAATCACACACCGTACGTATGAGTTCGGAGCATTTCAGTATTGTAGGCAACAGAATTATTTCCATCTCTGTCGAGAGAAAAAAAAATCGGAAATTCATCTCAATGTTTCATTACGTGCTGTACTACCTCCTCACTCACCTCTCGAGCCCTAATTTGAGTATACGCTATTGCTCGAAGAAGGCAGGCTCCCTCACAAATAATTGGTATCATAGTTACAAACACTGTAGCACCGTTTATGTTTAATATGTCTACATACTTATGTTCAAAATTTCTACAGCTAAACTTTATTTTTAAAAATTTCTTCTTAGGTTAGAAAAAATCAAAAATAAATTTTATTTCTATAAAAACACAATTTATTATAAATAAATACTTAACGTATAACCAACTATTCAACAATGGGAACTCTGCTCCACTGAAAAACCCAAGCTTCATCTATTGTGGCGTATACAACCTACAGACCACTGGTATCAAAGGACATCCCCTGGTACCCTGCTGGACATAAAATGCGACTGGAGACTGCTTTGACCGGATTTGCAAGTGGCCATCTTAAGTGCCTTACTTTTGAGAGAGGCAGAAAGATCTTCCCTACTTGCAAAAAAAAAAAAAAAAAAATGCTGTGTTCAACCAGCTTTGCCGGAACATATCCTGGTTTGTCTTGGACTTTCTAAGGTGGATCTTACATCAGATCCTTTTTTTGTTACGGATTTTCTAGCGATCAGCGGCTTCCTGGAGAGCTTATCTGAAGATTAAGAGGATAAGCAACAACAACACTATTTAAATTATTACTTAACCTAAAACGAAATGAATAACTATAGTGTTGGCAATCAACAGAGAAATGCCCGAGTAAATAGTACCACATAACATATTTTATGGATAGAATAGAAAATTTTTTGAAATAAACAGAATTTTTTTCACTAAGTAATGGCTTTTGTTCAAGTTGACTTCCTATTTTTATAATTTTGTTTCAGACAGCGATAAGCATAACTTAACCCAACAGTCATGAATAAAAGTTACAAACTCACAGCAGTTATAAAATACCATATTATTTGCTCAAAAGCGTGTATTTCAAGTCACGACAAGATATTTGAAAAACAACCTTATATAAAAAGAAACTTAACATTTTCTCCTCACTAAATCATTGAGGCAGAGAAAAGCAAAGCCTGGATTAAAATCATCAAAAACAGTGTTTGAGCTGAAACCTAATTCTTCTTCTCTAGGAGCCGCCTTCAAGTTTCATCCTCAAATAATCTGATTTCAAATTACAGTATACTTTTGATATCTCAAAATTGAAAGGATGCTAAAGAAATTTCGAGATAACAAGTTCAGAACTAAATATCTTCTAAGTAGAAAAATATATTTTGAAATAGTACTCTGTCGAGTTATGAAACATAAGAATAACTACTAATAATTATGTAATGAAAGTTGACTATAAATCTAAATAAAATAATGATAACTATATTTTTAAAAATAGGACAAAAATAAAGTGCATTAACTAGAAAAGAATTGGCTTACAATAAACATTGTGATTACATGGTAATTTTTCGAAAAAAATTCCTTTTCTATTTCGAAAAAAATTCATTCTAACTGGGTTTTGAGAAGAAACTATTCGACATAGGAATTCAAATTAACATTGCCAAGGGTGAAATTTTGACATAACAATATTTTCGAGATATCGAGAGTATACTATATTTCAATCCCCGCATTGCTCTTATTGTGAGAGAAAGTTTCCTTTCTTTCTCTTGTAAATATTGATTTGAGATTTCAATAATGAGCAGTTTTTTTTAAAACAAAATCAGTACGAATTGTTCTTACATGAATTTCACACTTACTTTCAGATGCAAAACAGTTTTAAAAAACAATTCAATGCAGTTATTTATTTAAATTGCTTCGTGAAGTATGAGATGGGAAATCTCCTCGAGATTTTTAAATTCTTGATCAAAGTCAATTAAATGCAATCCTCCCAGTCAGTATTTGACGTCACTTTTCTCTTCCTATTCTGCAATTGACAGGAACAAGCCATGTGTCCTCCCTTAATTTCGCTAATTCTTTTATCTTGGACTTTTTATTCATACCTTATATATGTGACTGACCCTTCGTAGGCCCTTTAATTACGAGGGCTGTTTTTTTTAAAAGTAAGGGCCGTTTTGTTGTACTAATGGGTGATGTCGTGTCCTTTAGGAACAAGTGACAGGGAAGGAACATTGTCAGGGTAGGTAATCTTAACGGTCAGTTCGGTGTTTTAAAAATGTTCAAATATAACATATTGCTAGCCACGTACGGTCAGTGATGTGTTTCATGTCGGCAAAAAACTGGCTGCTGCAAACATTCACCGGCAGATTTGTGAAGTTTACGAAGCATCCTACTGCCATGTTGACAGGAAATTTCGCTACTCCATGACATTGAGGACTGAGCTCCTCCACAGCTTTACTGGACTCGTTTGGCTGGAAAGTTTTGGACCACCCCTCAATACAACCCAGACCTTGCGCTAAATGATTTGTCATCTTTTCCGACGTTTCAAACATCGTTTTGGCGGCGATCGAAGATCAATGACGACGAAGACGTGAAATCGGTCGTGACCTCTTGGTTATCGGAGTAGGCGGCAAGTCGCTATGAAAAGTGTATTCCAAATCTAGTTGTAAGCTATAAGTGTTTAAGCAAACTTGGCAACTATTTTGAAAAAAAAAAAAGAAACGTATGTAGAATCAAAAAATAAATTCGCTTCAGGAAACTTTTCTTTCGTTTGGTTTTTATTTTCAAATGGCTCTTACTTAAAAAAACAGCCCTTGTACTTTTTCAACATTAAGTTTCCTACACTTTTGTAGATTCGCGAGCAGATCGTTGGGCTACCGAAGCGGGGGTGCCATCCCCTCCGCAGAGGATCAAAATTGTGATGGCATGTCTTCGGATCATCCTCCGGGATGTTTCCCAGACCGTCGCCAATAGCCCATTGTGCAGCTCTAGTGCGACGTAAATTAACAACAAAACTTTTGTAGTACTCACTATTATGTATCTATCCAGATACCACTTTAAATTTATTCCACCAAATCCTTTTTTCAAGATTCTTAATTCAAATGTTAACAGATCCTCCTTCGATTTATTAATTGTCCAATACTTACTGCCATATAAAACTGGCTCTGACTTGTATTGCTGTATCTTTGTTTCACTATTGTATATTAAATGTATAGTATACATTATTACCGGACAACAATGGACCCTGTATAATGAATGTATTTGCACTTTCTAATTTTGTGTATTTCTACCTTTTTGCTTTTGCAGGGTGTTAAACAAATGACTGACTGATTTCAAATTTAAAATTCTTGGAAACGAAGAGTTATAGAGGAATTAAACGAAGGGTATGATTATTGTGAAAACTGCAAAAATTTTATTTAAAAACTATTGGATTAACTTATATAAGTTGCTAAAAGATGGCGTTACAACCTAATGATGACCAGAATGATCGTTTCTAGCATTAAAGCGTGAAAAGAGGATGTCGTACAAGATTAGGAAGTTTATAAGCTGTTATTCTATTTAAAGCATGTTTTTATTATTGGAATATGTAAGACAGTTTTATCCTTTTTAAGAATTTTGTGCAGAGTTATGTTGTAGACAACTTTTGTAACTAAATTCTTAAATTTTCGGATTAAATTTTTACAGCTTCAGCAAAACACATATCCATTGCTTCCGAGATTTTTAATTTTGTAATATCAGTCAGTTACCCACTGAACTATGTTACTTTTATATTTTTTGTTTTGTTTTGCAAAAAAAAGATTACCAATGACTTGAACATTAGTTACGATGAAATAATTTGAACTGTTTTTTTTTTTTTTAGATCCAATAGATGGTGAAGCATCCACTCTGGCAAAAGATCTAGAGCAAGTACAGAGAGCGATTCGGGGAGAATCCAGAGCGAGTCTAAGACCGACAAGGTAGTTCAGTCTTCCTCAACTGAAGTATAAGGATCGATGAATATGTACATATTTGTGTATACCAGATGTCAATTTTATGAACTAGAAAAAGAGAGAATATGTAAAAAAAAAAATTGTGATTTTATACCGTTACTACTTGTTGAACATTCTATTGAAAGAAAAATCTTTGTTTTTATTGATAAAGACTAAATCAAAGTAATTTATTTAAATCATTCTTTTGAATATTTAAACTGAGAGAATTGTGTTGTTCGGAATTACATCTAACAGTACACTTTCTGTAGAGTCTATTTTCACAAATTTCATCATTTCTCAAATAAATATATTCAAAGTAAAAGCAGTCTCCAACAGTTCAATTCTGCATGTTTCTAACTGCCTATTACTGCCAACTCAGAGCATGCTTATTCTCTTACTCTTTACGATTCAGGAAATAAACATAGCTGCTATAGCATAAAGAGGGGAAAAATGCCATAGATTTTGCAAAATAATAATTTTACGCAAACTATTGCAAAACAAAAGAAAATTCGTCACATCAAAAATTTTAGGGATTTTATAACAATTAATAAATGGTCATTAAATACAAAAACTATATTACACAAATAATTATGAATTTAAATTGGCTGCGATATTTTTTGCTAGAAAATAGTATTAAATGAATAAGAAAATAAATTTTATTAAATTTGTTTCATTCTTAAAATAACAATTTTGAATATTCAGAAATATCAAATTAAGATGGTTGTGACACAGGTATGAAAAATAAAAATAAAAACAAATTTTAAATACTTTTGAACTAATTTTAAAAAAACAAAATCTGGATATAAAAAATTTGGTATTTTAACTCTTTCAACCAGACTTTTGTAGCATTAAAGATTAAATATGGAAAGCAGTTTATGTTAATGCTGACATATTAAAATAAGTATACTATGAGTTCAAAGTTTTCCAATTTTATCCTGGGACAATATGTCTTAATAGTTTTGAATATTGTACAATACCTATATACTGCAAGGGAATAAATAAGTAATATAATATAAAATAATATAAATGCATAGAATTATTTATTCCTACCAGAATTTATAGAAACCAGAAGTTGTCGTTATAAAATAATCAAAACAAAAACTAAAATTTTGTCTTATAATATTTTTACTTCTAATGGGATAAATTGTCCCATTGGTAAGTACGATTGGGATATGTTGTCCCAATTCTAAGTACGATTGGGACAATATATCTCACAAAACAAAGAGTTAGTCAAAATTTCTAAATCAGATTCTAAATAGGTACAATTATTACTTAATAAGAACAAACATAATTATTTTACACAAAATATGGCGAAAATATAGTTGTACTTACCTCAGAATTCTGAAAATATGTAAATTAAAACGAAATTGACTGGCGAGCTCACAAACAGAAGTCTGTCATTTTGAATATGAGAGAGTTGACAAGTTTCTTTAGTCATATTTTTATTCAAGCCTAAAGAACCCTGAAAGCATGCGAAATTGGGATCGATTTATTCATTAGGGAATAAAGTTTAATCTTTGGGTTGTATATATATTCCATTCAGGTCAAAAGGGTTCATGAAAAGTGTCCAACTGATTTGAATTCAACACTTATATGCAATTCTAACTTTACACTTCAATTTTTAGTAATATTACATGCATAAATTCTCAAGTAAACAAATAAGTAAAAATAAATAACTGGGATTGCTTTTTAAGATATTTTACAATTAATTTTAGGGAATTTTCCAAAATACATAAGCTCCAGAAGAATTCTGGATAAAATCTGGCAGAATAAAAAATTAATTAGATTTTCAAGGCAGCTTGTTTGTATTCACAAAGCATTTATCTGTGTAAATCTATGAACTGATTGTATTTTTGAGAGTAAGAATTTTAATTCCATGAAAAAAGTGGTAAAAAAAGAAATAAAAATCAAGTACACTTTGAATGATTAAATTTTCAAAAATTAAAAGCAATTATTTACAAAACATATTTAAAGTTTTATAAATAATTGCATTTAAGAATTACTTTCGTTATTTAATCGTGGGCAGATACCTTTTTTTTTACCCTTAAAGCAAATTAATAATGTCCGCTTTCAAGTGGGCTGGAGGGAGACGAATAGTGAGCAATCAAAATCAAATTGATCCATTTCATTTTATTTATTTTTTAGGTTAAATGTTTTTCACAATAAAATCGGACTTGAGATAGTAATTAAAAAAAAAAAAAACATTTCCTAAAATTTCCCAATGAAGTCTATTGACAAATTTCTAGAAAAAATTGCGCTAACTTATCTACATCTATATGAGCCTTATCAATATGATTATATTTTTATTCTCTTATAAATCAAAATTTCAATTCAGACACACAAAAACAGAAGCATCAATACATCCAAAACAGACAATTTTATTTTTTGATTCAAAATTATTGTAGAACAATGAATGGCACTTTGGAAAATTGAACAATTGGTGCATAATCTCAACAATTATATATACATGTAAAATTTAAAAAAAGCCAGTCAAAAAGTTATTTGATTTAATATTGGTATAAAAAATATATTTTCAATACTTTTATACATACAGAAAATGTAACAATTATTTTGTAAATAATAAAACACATTGAGCAACAGATAATAAAATATTTATCTTATGATTTTTCATAATATTTCTCCCAGATAACAATTGTAAATTGTATAACAGTAATACAAAAATAACTGATTTCTATAAAAAGAAACTAACATATATTTTAAAAACATAGAAACTCGCATGTAGCTCATTCAAAATGCAGTTGAAGGGATTTTCACTCAAACTTAATTCCCTGTGCAAGAGGAAGCTCTTTAGTGTAATTAATCGTACAGGTGGATCTACGCATATATTGCTTCCAGGCATCGCTACCAGATTCTCGACCGCCACCCGTATGCTGAAACACAAAATTGTGTGCTTTAAGTAAAAAAAATCAAAAGAAAATTAATTATAAAATCATAAAAGAAAACATTGAAAATGGGGAAGAGTTGACCAGATTACTTTATTTATATAAAAGATTAGAAAATTACAACAGACTCTAGATTTTAATTATTTCCAACGTTTGATTCACAGAAAGAACAACTATTTTGCATTTCAGTATGTTGATACTATGAACAGAATGTAAAGTATGTAATAAGACTTAGACTAATTATAAATCCTATTAGATTTATTAAACTATATCTTTTAATAAAATCATTATCAATGTTTAATACAATCAAGATTCTGTCATCCCGATCATTTTTTTAAAAAAAGATTTGAGACATACTGATAACATATTCCAATGGAATAAAGGAAACATTTGTTGGAGAAAAGCGGAATGATGAGGAGAGAATTGAGTGTCAATGATAATTGGTTACTTTCACAGTTAGGAAAGAATTGCCACATCAGGGTTGAAAAATAATAGAATTCAAATGTAAATAAAATGAAGAATAGACTCACATATTATCTGATATAAAATAAATAACAGAAAAAGTATAAACAAAAAGAGTGAATCAGATTATTAACAATTTAAAATCATTTGGTGGTCATATCATATTATGTCTCTATAAAAATTGAGATTACTTATTAATATTACTAATTTGTTAGTTAGGAACATACCTAAGTATCAAGACTTGAGAAAAGCGGCATTTACGTATAAGCTTGATTGACTGCAGTTAAGAACCTACAAATCCAAAATATCCTTTCTGGTTTTGTGAAATGAATGTGTCAACAATGAAAAGATACAACAGATATTTCTGTTGTATCTTATCTAATTTTTTCTTCTTTTAAAAAATCAAGGTTTTATACGTTGTGTAATAAAAGAAAAAATCTACATTATAACCTTAACATTATCAATATACTTCTTAACTATATTTCTGTTTGTTTATTTAAATAATATATTTGGCAACTAAATGATATCAAATTCTTATAACTTAATGTTTACTAATCAACAATAAAAATATATAGAGAGTATAGAAAATGGAATTTAATTTTTCCTATTTAAAACTGAAATAGACGAAGTTTTTTTAAAATAAATAAGCTGAAAATTTGTATAATAAAGAAAACTTGACACCATTTAGCAATTAATCCAAATAAAATTTCAAAGGTCTTTCAAGATTGTAACATTGGGAGTAAAACATAGACTAGCAAGAGTATTGAAAACACTCTGCAAAAATACAAAAACAAATTATAAAACCATTTCTCAGAAGAATACAAGGGAACATTTGGTCACAAAGCTATGGAAACAGAATTTCCACTCTATGAAATTTTAGCCCATTTTAAAATATGTTAAAAACTTTACAAAATTGTTCTATTTAAATTCATACTATCAAACAATAGTAAAAGGTAGAAATAAGATTTCGGAAAAAAACAAACAATCATAAGTTAAAATATCCACACAAAAAAGCGGGTATGTGTCCTAAAAACATGATGCTCATTAGAATCAAAATGATTGTTTTTTATAATGAAACCAAACTCTAAAGCTATCCACTTACCATACATTAAACAGCACAGGGTTCCCACTCAATTTCAGAAAGGAAATTCCTTGACTTCCAGGTATATGAAGTAAATTAAATGAAAATTCATACCATCGATACCTTGCAATTTTTCCTCAGAAAACATTGATTATAATTATTTTATATAATATCAAATATTAGATTGTGTGAGCAAAAACATATAATAGAATGAGAATGGAAAAATTTCCCTAAAAATAAAGAATTTTATAAAATAATTCTAATAGATGTAAGAATTATTTAACTCGAATCTAAATAAATGATTATTGTTAGTGACAATTTCAAGACTGGTTATTTTCCAGGTATAATATAGGAATTTTCCAAGTTTTTTTGTAAAAAAACCAGTGTTTCCCCGACTATTCACATCTCTTTAGATTTAAAACAAAATATCCTGACAATTCAAGGTTTTCCCTGACCGAGTCATTTTATTACATTTTAATGTGTGTGGGGAAAGTTTTGACAACAGCAACAAACAGGGTGAAAATCTTATTTCTGAAAAGGTAACACCATAAAGAAAAAAAAAATCTTCTTGCAAGATAAAACACATCAATTATATTTCTTAAAATTCTATTGAAAATTATCAGTTGATGAATTAAAAAGAATAAGAAAAATCTTATCAAATATTATATATCAGGTATAATAAAGAAATGATAAGAGAAAGACAAATACCTTTTCTCCTCCAAATGCTCCTCCAATCTCAGCACCACTTGTAGGAATGTTAACATTCACTATTCCACAATCGGATCCTTTTGGACCAAGCCACTAAAATAAAAAAGAAATTACATTATTGATTGATCTAAAAAATTATAACAGCTGCAGACAACCAATACCAGGGACAAATAGTCTTCAAATGCTTGTCAACTAAAATCATGGAACTGTTTTGCACAAAAGGAAGTCATTTAAATTATTTATCTCTTAAAAAATTCCCCGAATTTTTATAGTTTTCCCGCCTTTATGGCCACCCTGAATAAAACAAAATGAATAAAAGCATATACACATACACGGTGACCAATAAGAAATTTTATTACAATACCAAATTAATCATTAATTTATAACAATACCAAAGCAAGCATTAAGTATCTTTACTACAATAAATGCTTTGGAATAATACCGTCGTACATATTCTTAACAAGGTCTCTTTTTATCACATTTTCAGCTATATCTTTTGAATTACATTTTTTATTGCTGATTTTATAATTATCATGTTAAGAGAGATGTGATAAAATAATTAAGCGGGTTCAGACCTGGAGAGATGGGAGGCTATTTATTCTCAGCCAAATGCTCCATTCCTTCATGCGGCATGAGAAGTGTTATATATTTATTTTCAGTACATTAAAATTTTATAAAAAATAAAATAAAAATAATCGAGACATCACAGACCAATATTTGAATTGTAAAAAGTATTTTTCTTTTCTTTTAAACTGTTTTGTACAGTTGGCTGGTGTTTGGGTCGCGCGTAAGCGAAATTCTCTTTTTAAGACTAAAGTCCCTTCGCAAACGATTATTCCCTAACAGGAGGTAAATGGCTGAAGAGGAGTGACGCAACGGTATGAGAGCCTATCAGCGAATGCCAAATGGCACTGTTTTTTCTCCCTACTTTTTTCGATTTTTCGACGCAGAGTGCGTTAGTCACTCTCTTAAAAAACTTTTCTCTTATAGGTTGTTCTTTTTAATTAAGCCGAAGATTGGGCCTACACGGCATTCTGGATCCAGGGACCAGATAAGTACCTTTTTAGTTAACGAGTTAAAAAACTAACTCTTTTTCCTTATTGATTAGAAAGGCGTCTTAAACTTAACAATGTCTGGAATTATTGTAATATTAAATTTTAACTTAAGATAGGTCTCCTTAATATAATAATTACTCCGTTCATCTAAACCCATGTGCGTGATCATTTTTTTTAAACTCAGCCAATTTTATTAAATTGTTAAATGCGAAATGTTTTCATTAATAGAAACTAATTGTTAAAATAATTGAAAATTATTTTTGAAGGTGCTGCACCAAACTTTTGAATATCTAATGTATTCTAATTATTGTTTTAACGAAGACTATGTTTGTATATGTATAAATGCATGTAACCAAGATATTATGTTGTAATACATTTTTATTTAAAAACGTTAATTCGTCTAATTAAAACGTTAATTAGTTATTTTGACTATGTCTCATGCTATTTCTTTGGATAGGGTTAAAGTTAGTGCGTGTGCAGTCCAGTGCCATAATTCTCAAAGATTATTTATAATCCTTCTAAATAACTAATTATTTCATTAAATTATGTCAAATAATATAAATTATTTTAAATTCTAGTCCAAATTGCTGCCTAGCTAATCAGATTAATATTGCTAATTGATCTTGAGGCACGTGGCTGGCCTGCATGAGCACGTTAGAGAATAATAATAATTGATGTTAAACGTAAGGTATGAAGCTATCAATTATTTTAACATTAAAATCACAATGTAATTATTTCGATAATTTAAGTTATATTCCTAATTTTTGATTTAAACTTACACAACGCAAACTATCGTTATTATGAAATTATTCTAAGTACTATACGATCGAAAGTAAATCATTATTTTGTTAAAGGATAAGTGTTGTTTAATAAATTCCAAAAGACATTAAACGTTGTTAAAATGAACCATAAATTAAAATTAAATTATAACACTGATCAAATTCTTAAATTATAACAGAAGGTGAATTTTGTTGGAAAGACATTTGGATGTAAAATTTTTTATGAAACCTCAATAGAGCATTGATCTTTACTCCCTTTTCAATAAAAATAAAGGGGATTTTGCCTCTCTCTGAAATAGGCCCTTAAATTATGACAGACGAGCATTATTTATAACACAAGACGTAATACTGGTTTCCAGAGATATTATCGATAGAAATTGACCATATTCTATCATTTTGGGGGTTGAACCTTTGCTGCAAAACAAATTGGTTTACATTTTAAAAGACAAATTCATCCCCAAGCAGGATCTCTTCAACCCTCTGCTGCTTTTTCACCTCAGCAGACTCTTAAAGTTTGTGAATTTTGTCATTTCTATAAACTTTTCACCAAAGTCTTTTCTCAGAAACATCAACCCCTTTGATATTTTGAGCTCCCCGTCTAGCCTTCTAGTAGATTTTTATCCATTTCATGGTATTACGGTATCCTTTCCCTGAACCTTCTTCACAGTCCCTTTTGTCCGAACAGACTGTGATCTGTCAGATCATCTTCTGTCATCTCAGTAAACCTTCTGATAGTTCTGTAAATGAAATTGCTCCTCACCCCCACGGCTTTAAAGTGTCTGAAAATTTGCCCGGACTCCTTCTTTCGATGAATTTATTCATTCCTATTTCTCTATATTTTTTCATTCTACTTAGATAAAGAAACATTATAAGTAGTAGTACATATAAGCTTGCAATAGCTTATATTAAATTGTATAAAAGGAATTGGAACTATGGTAACAGTTATATAACTTTTTAATGTCCTACAAAAATTGTATGTGAACTTTTTGATTAAGGTTAACACGTTACCTCGAATGACCGAAATCAAGAGGATGTGGACTTTGACTGGTGAATGTCAACGGCACAGTTCGTTGATATTATTATATTAATTCGACATTTTAAAATCTGCTGCTAATAGATTAGGAGAAACATCTGTGATCGAAGTACCGGTTGAATGCATACCTGGCAGCGGCACTTCACTAGACCTAGTATATATTTCGGAAATTTATCAAAGAGAGTGTGTGATTGTCAACATCGGTCAAAATCAACAATCACCCACTTCGGTCATTATTACACTTAAGGAATAAAAATAAGAGACAGACCTTAAAAACATTTCCAAGATTCTGTGTGAATATACTGCTGGATAATCCCTGTTTGACTTCATTATTCCATTGAATAGCCTCATCAACGTTGGAAGTTTTTAGAATATACACAATAGGAGCGAAAGTTTCCTGATGTACGATTTCAGAGTCGTGAGATAGGCCAGTAATGATTGTTGGCTCAACGAAATTACCAGGCATCTTATCAAGCACCTGTGGAAAATAAACATTTCGTTATACTAATAATCAGAGTTTACACCAGCAATGGTCCAAAAATAAAATACAGTAGATAAAAATTTATACATATTTTATTTTAGGGTACATAGTAAGAAATTAAATATTGTCATTTACCCTCTAAAAATAATTAGGTTCAATAGTCCAACAGGATTAAAAATAAGTAATTATGGAAATTAAGAGGAAAATAATTAAAAAGCAATAGAATTAAAGTCAAAACTTACATAGGTTAAAAATTAATAATTCAAAAATTATCTAAACTCAATTCAAAAAGAACCAGACATTGTTGTACTGTAAAAAAATCTATTGTTTTGTCAGCATAATATTTAAACTTTTAATTTTATACATTTCATTTTAAAACTTTTTTTACCTGAGCTTTCAGTTGTACAGTTTTCAAAACATTAAAAAAAATTGATATTATTCAAAAAAAAAAAAAAAAAAAAAAATTCCTCTTTTCATAGGTTTTCAATGAATGTTTTGACTTGCATCACAGCCAGTGTTTCACTTTGAACAGTAGTCTATGAAAACAAGTGAAAAAACTTCTACTATAATAATGACTTTAAACNTTACTTGACCTTTCAGTTGTACAGTTTTCAAAACATTAAAAAAAAATTGATATTATTCAAAAAAAAAAAAATTCTTCTTTTCATAGGTTTTCAATGAATGTTTTGACTTGCATCACAGCCAGTGTTTCATTTTGAACAGTAGTCTATGAGAACAAGTGAAAAAACTTTTACTATAATAATGACTTTAAACATGTTGACAATGATACATTATTTTGTCTAAATTAAGTTAAAATGTAACAAAAACTGCAACAAGTTGTTCTGCATTTCCACTGTGTTTTATAAACTGTTCTTAATTAAAGCAATTAAATCTAATTCAATCAGATCAGAAAGGAGAGGGGAATACGAATTAAGGAGGTGAATAATAGTGCTAGTGCATAATAACTGACAGCTCACTACAACAGTTTAATTTATTTTAAAACAGTCGTCGAACAGCCTAACCTAATTTTTTGGGTTTACGACTACTAATGTTCGACTCTGTAGCCTCGTTCTTTTGATCATGATCCAGAAGACAAGGGAACTCCTGCATCAAGTATTGGGAGAAATTTGCCTTCATGGAGGCCTTTTTGATGGAACTAATAAGCATTTGCATTACATGGCAAGGAAAACCACGAAAACCTCCCGCAGTCAGCCTGATGAACTCTAACAGATGATCTGCCTACCTCGGAGGATATTTTAATTCAACACTGTGCTCGGTGCAAGCCAGGTGCAGAATTTGTATCGACCAGCCATTGCTGGGATTCGAACCCAGTACACCTCATTGGAAGGCGAACGCTCCGTCCCATTGCAGCAGTTTATTATTGAGAACATGAATTTAAAAATAAATCATTGAGAGAAATGGGAACATACTTTTCCACCACATTCGACCACTCCGCCCAACTTCTTGGCATTTTCAATTGCATTTAAATACATCTCTACGCCCTGCCTGTTGTGCATGGGACCATAGAGAGTGCCTGCATCCAAGGGATCACCTATCCTCACCTTGGTGTATGCATTCTTCAATCGACTCACAACTTCAGAATATACCTTAGAAAGAGAAAGTTACAGTTCTAAACTATGTTTTGCTCAGAAGAACATTTTTACACAATATTAAGAGCAATGTGACGAAATATATAAAAATACACTATTTAATTTCATATAAACTGCCAACAAGGGTAGGAAAAAATCCAATACATTTTAAGATATAATATAAATTTCACGATAATTGTTGCATGAAATAGTAAACCTACAATATTATCCAATTATGATTGAGATTGAACGAAATGGAAATGTTATGCTTTATATTCACTCATAATTTTGAATAGCTACAGGCATTTAACTCATTAAAAATAGTTAAAAGATTTTTTAATTAATTGAAAAAGAGAGTTCTAGATAAAAGTAAACTGAACATTTTAGAACAAAAAAATTTGAAACTGATTTCTATAAATGAGGCTGGCTTCATTATGAATTAATAATACTTATTTGATTATTCAAGCCAGCAATAATCAATGCAAAAATCGAAAAAAACTTTAGAAAACTTATTCAATTTTAGGGAATCCAGTTGAGTTGGCAGCTATGTTTGTATTTACTTTTCTAAAAAATCGTCCCTTTGAAAACAACAAAAAAAAGTTTTATACAAAAAGATTTTATAAATTTTGAAACTTTTTTTTAATAAATTACACAATATTTCAACACAACAGTTATACTTAATCACAATTTCAAAACTTTATTTCTACATGAATAAAATAAAGAAAAAGATTAAATGAATGTTAGATTTAATTAAAAAACAATTATTGCTTCAAATTTTCATATGTTTGCTTTTAAGAATACTTTATTGAAGGTCTCCACATAACATCCAGTTTAATGATTTTAACAATAAGAATGATTCCAGTGAATTATCAGACAAAGAATTTCTAAACTGCTTCAAAATTTCTATTTGTCTCCTTTTTTTCTTTCCAACATTACTGAATAACCTCTCACATGCAGCATTGCTGTGTGCTCATAATAGCCACTGATTTTTGCTATCCCACTATACTTTTTAAAGCAGCCATCATTGGATATTACTTTAGAAATAGTATCTCATTTTTTGTCCATTCTCGTTTAACGGGCGGCAAATAAATCAGTAATTTGCAAATCACTGAGTTCAAATTATTAAGAGAATGAGAATAATAATGCACAGAGCGTACCTTTTCATGAACAATCAATCTCCTTGTTGTCGTACACCTCTGTCCTGCTGTCCCAACACATGCAAAAACGGCAGACTGAATCACCATATTGAGGTCAGCATCCTCTGCAACAATGATCGCATTGTTTCCACCCAGTTCCAACAGAGACTTCCCAAATCTTTTCTGAACCTCCACTGACACTTGCTGCCCTACTTGGGTACTGCCCGTAAATGAAAGCAAACCGAGCCTAGTGTCTTTAGCCATAGCTGATCCAATATCAGCTCCACCACACACCAATGAACAAATAGCTCCAGGCAGCTTATTACGCTGGGTAGAAAGAAAAAGTATGTTTTAGTTCATTACTTATTTCAACCAAAATTTCAAGACTTATGTGCTAAAAAGCACAAAACTGCAATAAAAAGTATAAAAGTGTACAAAGCTAAAAACTATGAAACTTGAAAAAACAAATCCTAGGACTTTTTAAAAAAAAGTTACATACTAAAAAAAGAAAAGATATTTTATAAGCTGCAATTCTTCGTAAGTCAACTTTATTGGTGTAAACAGTTAAACAAATGTAAAATTATTGACATTTAACATTATTTGTTTAATTCTTTACTAAGAAGTTACAATTTTAAAATCCAAACAAACCAAAATTGGTAAATTTGTTTGTTATTAGTACTAATGCCCTGGAAAATTGAAATTTTTTCTGTAAATAATAAAGTGCATATTTTTGTGTTTTTAAAAATTGTATCTAAATAACATTTTAAGATTCGTCTGTTTCAGACTGTGTTTAGCAGATAAGTGAAAAGATATGCGTGAAACAATACATGATTCCATATGATATGCATGAAACAATACATATTCCTAAATGAAAAAAACATTTAAACAGTGCAAACTTCTCGTTTCCAAACGTTCAAGTTACACAATAAACTTTGCAAAAATTAAAATTCTTCTACTTAATTTACTGTACTGCATTTTATAAATGACATTTATATTTTATTAAACTAATTTGTATTAAAAGCTGTATATGTACTTTTATGAACCAAAAATAAATCTTTAATATTGTTATGTTAATGTGCAATATGATAGCTAAATTTTAGCAGTACTTTAAGTATTATATTTATGAGAAAATATAAACTATATTTATTTACATTTTACACAGGTACGAATTTCCTTGTCAATCAATTCTATGACATTATATTCTGAAACGCGATGAGGTCACAAATTATATACCCCCACTTTTGAAATTGACTTCTTGACCTTTCTTTGTCAAGTATTTGGGAAAACTATCACCGTTTTTTGTTTTATCACTGTTTTTCTTACTACTGGAACTTATTACTTGCTCCAATTTTATTGTAATTACTTTTGTACTATTTAATTGGTATTAAAAGTGCTGTTTTAATATGCTATACTATGTTGTTCTTTTGTAAATTTTACATGTTTATCTTTTAAATTGTTCTTTTAACAGACACTTTTAATATTTTGCTGTTTCAATGTTTTATCACCTTACATGATTTTTGCTGATCTGCGATCGCCATGTTCATGGGCTGTTTGCCATGTATTTTATCCTTGTACTGCTCTCCGGATTTTTTTTTATATTAATAAACATTTACCCGTATGCCCTAAATAAGGGTGAGCCGTGGAAAATTTTCCATTATTACTGGAACCACAACTTTTACTAATTATATAAAGACTGAAAACATTGTATTGTTAATATTTCTTTAGAGACTAATGAAATAATATTGTTTCCTAAAGTATACTAATGCAAATAATAGACTTAAAAGCAGAGGATTGACTACAAAAGCAAAACTTGTTAATTTGTTGAGTAGCACTGGGGATGTTTTAACGTAGTAATTATCACAAAATACAAATTCATGAAAAACAATCACTTCCCAAAAAAATACTCATAAGAGCGGTCTTAACAAAATTTAAAATTGTAAAAAACCCAATTTCAAGCCATTAATATTTACAAAAGTATGAGTATTTTACCTAAGACTTGGTCTTTAATAATTTTGATATAAAAGATAAAATATGGTGGTTTTGCATACAGGAATAAAAATTTTCAAAAAACTATTTTCCTTTTTCTCAATAAAAAATTTTACAAAAATATTTCCCATTTTGTCCAATAAAAAAAAGTTTTTCTCTCACAAATGGAAGGCAAAAAATAAATACATATGATATACAAGACTTCTATATGGATTAAAACATTAAGACCTATAGTAAAAAGGATTGTAATTACATTTAGAAACTGTTTACAAGTAAAGCATTGTTTTAGATTCATTATTTTTCTTTCACTTGAGTCATTTTTTGATGAAAAACTTTTTTACACATCTTTTTGTGTAAAAATGCAAGTGCAATTATATTTTTACATTTATAATGACAAATGTTTATGCAATTACTTTTTCATCCCTGTTTCTTCATAATTTCACAATATAATTAAATCATAGTTAAAGGATTCTCAAAATTTAAGAAAAAAAATTTATCACCTCTAACGTTCAAGAAAATTCTTAGTCCAAAAATTTGAAATAAAAAAACAGAAAAAAAGTTACAATGTGAATAAATAGAATATAAAACAAGATTTTAAGAAGAAATGAACCAATTTTTTCACCTGAGCTGATAGAAAGACACCATTTTTCATGAATAAAATTTGTAAAGCAGATCTGCCAATCTCAGAAAATCATAAAACAGGAGACTCTTACTGCATCAAGATCCAACTTTATAAGTTTAGAAATACATAGAAAATTAAAATTTTTTGGGTTTACAACTACCAATGGTCAACTCTGTAGCCTTGCAATTTTGAACCCAATCCAGAAGACAAGGGAATTCCTGGATCAAATATTGGAAGAAATTTTCATTCGTGGGACACTTTATGATGCAACTAACCCGTATTTACGTCACATGGAGAAGAATACCATGGAAACCACCCACCGTTACCTGATCGCAAGGGGACTCCAACCCATGATGCACCTACTACTCAGGATATTTTTTCAGCACTATGGTCAGTGCAAGCCAGATGTGGAATTCGTATCAACCAGCCATTGCTTGTACTAGAACCCGGTTCAGCTCATTGGAAGCCGAATGCTACAACTCCTGAACTATCACGGAGGATTTACACGAAACCGGATTTAGATTCCTGACCCCCAAATGACAGCGGGTAGCTCCAATCTCTGAAATATGATTCTGATAGTTTGAACAACAGAGCGGCTGAAAGTTAGGACCTCTTACAGTTAATTTTACTCTTTCAATATTTCACCATATCAAGAATTTTCTAAGCGAGTTGATTTTTGCATTCGATTATAAAATTTGTTATAACTAGATATTATTTTTCATTATTTTGTGTAATAAAAGTTGAAAAATATACAAATTTTTACGTAATTTTAAAGAATGTATTTTTTTATAGCAAAATATAAAATTGGAATAACTTCACAACTGTTAATGTCGTAAGAAAAAAATTGTTAACTTACTTCTAAAACAGATGCAATAATTTTGATAACAGCCACGCTGCAGAGATTTGTAGAAGTTGCACCTTTCCATACCATTGTGTCACCACAAACCATAGCTATAGCATTGTTCCAACCATAAACAGCAACAGGAAAATTGAAGGCAGATATGATGCCTATGGCACCCAATGGATTCCACATTTCGAGCAGGGCGTGTCCTGGTCTCTCAGAAGGGAGGACTTTACCTTCCAACATTCTGGATAAACCAACAGCATAATCGCAAATGTCCACATATTCCTGAACCTGTAAGAAATTCCAATGTTTATCAAATATTAGAACTGAAAGTGTTTTTCATTATGTTTTTACACAGATGTCGTAAAAGTTCGATTATCTGAAATGTGCAGCTAACTCCAGATAATAGACCAGAGATATACTACAAAAATCTTCTTTAACATACAATGTATTTTACAAATTCAAAAACATTAGTGAAAATAACACTTCAGGACAAAAATGTATTAAAACTGTTGTGCATCATTAAAAAAATAATAAAATAACTGAATACCATAAAAAATAATAATGCTGCAAAAATAGAAAAAAAAGAAAAATATATAATAACTTTTAATTGGCTTGTGTTTTCCTAATATTCTTATGGCCATTTTCTACTCTTTTAACATTAGATTATAAGCAATATATCCAAATAAGTGCATAGGGTACATCCTGTATTCTCTCTCTCTCTCTCTCTCTCTCTATATATATATATATATATATATAAATAGATTAAAGTAAATTATTTAACCAGTAGAGAAACAAACGTACAAAATAATAAAAGGAGAAACAAATGTGATGGGGTTGGGCAGGAATCCTAGGGTTAATTAAATTAGAATACATTTCCATACACTGGGAAAAGATGGGATAGTAGATAGNATATATATAAATAGATTAAAGCAAATTATTTAACCAGTAGAGAAACAAACGTACAAAATAATAAAAGGAGAAACAAATGTGATGGGGTTGGGCAGGAATCCTAGGGTTAATTAAATTAGAATACATTTCCATACACTGGGAAAAGATGGGATAGTAGAAAGATCATTAAGTAAACTATAAACATTATATTATGTATTAAATATATTACATATTTACATAAATAATAATTCCCAGAAATCAAAGTCGATAGAGGAAGAGAAGTGTTGACTGATTTTGGCATGAGGAAACTAAGACCTTTGATTAGAATTCCAAATATGTATGAATTGGCCATGGAAGATCGTTTAATACCCTCATTTTTTAATTTACTTATAGTCGAAATTTATGGACATGTTTAGTTCGTTCAATCTAAGTAATAAATAATGTTATGAGAAAGTCCAGGGTCAATAGCCTTTCATTGAGGAAACATTTTCTCCAAAGGGTATCTGATAAATATTAGTGAGAAATTTACCCTAATTATGAGTACCCTATTCATCATTCATTTTGAGGTGTGGGGGTTCCTGCCAACCCCCTAACCATGCAGGAGAAATGCCTATATTCCACTATAGGCTAATAAATTTACATAAAAAAAAAGCTGATTTTAATTATTTATTATTTCATAAATCCACTATAATATAATGAAGAGGTGATTGTGACACAAAGTGAAAAACCCAGAAAATTCTATATCAAACTATCAATTTATGCACCAATCATGTTTCATATTTAACATAATCTTTTGAACTAACATTTATAATTAAATTACCTAATAATGAAAAATGTCACAACTTTATAATAACTAATACAAGAAAAACTCAGGTCTTACGTGAATCGCAATATTGGATCTTATAACCACATAAATATGAATCGCGATTTCAGATTTTAAAATAACGTGAATATGAATCACAATATCGAATTTTAAAAATGGGGAAATACAAATTGTTATATTGAAGTTTTAAATCCCAAAAATTGGAATCAGGAGGCGCAATTTTTACATTACATGAATACAAATTACAATGCGCAATTTTGAAATCACATATAAATAAGAAAATGGATGTTTGATATTACAACCGTGTGAACATGAATCATGACATTGGATTTTAAACTCACGAGAATACGAATCGCGATTTTCAACTTTTAAATCCCATATATAAAAATCGCAAAGCATGACTTTAAAATCGCGTGAATACGAATCACAGCACGTACCTTTTAAATCAGGGAACAGAAATTGATGTTTGATACTAAAATTGCTTGAGTAAGAATCGCTATATTAGCAGATTTCGTGCTTCTGCTATTCTGATTCCGATTGTATTGTTTTTGCTCAGCCATAATAAATAAAAATTAACAAGATTAATTGAATGAGCAAATAAATATTTTCAATGGAAATCCACCATTATTTTTTTCAAGTAGGCCACTTTTTTATCAGCATTTGCTTTTGTGCTGGTAAAGAGGAAGTCATGGGGTAACAGGAAGCAGTGTTGCTGAAGGAGCTGAATTTCTTCCCTCATTATAAGATGAGAGGAAAAATCCACTTTGTCACACCTTAAAGGGAGAACCACAGTAAGCGGACACAAGTGATCAGGTGGGTAGGTAAATCTTAGCTTAGCTGCAGAAAATCTTAGCTTCTGCTCATAAAATCGGAATAAATAACTAAAATAAATAAAAATGCAGAAATAGTTTTTGCTCGTAAAAGTAAAAGAAATAGCTAAAATAAGTATTAATGGGGAAAACTTCTTCAGAATGCGCAAGTGTTGGCAGTGTTGTTAAAAGTAAAAGAAATAGCTAAAATAAGTATTAATGGGGAAAACTTCTTCAAAATGCTCAAGTGTTGGCAGCAGTGGCGTAAACTACGAAATATTTTTTCATAAAATAGCTTTTAATTCAATTAATAAAAATAAATAACTTTCAACTAAACTTTGAATATAATTATTGTAAAATAGTGAGTTATTTTTTTTTTTACTTTTAAGATTAATTTCATTTCAATGTGCTAAGTCAATAAGTGAATACAATGTAGTACAGTTTCTAAATTCTGCTTTTCTTTCGCAATTAGTAATCCCTCATTAATTAGCACTAATATAATTTAAATTTTGATAAGTTAACATAAATTAAAATAAAATGAATGATTATAAATTCTTGTCTTCACTTTGACATTGTTTCATAATTTTAAAACAATTGTATTAAATCTAAGAAAATGCGAATTTCAAAATCTCGAAGAAAGGCGCTACTGTGGTTAGCAGCTAACAGCTATGAAATAATATTCATTTTAAAATATTTTTTTTAAAAACTATCTTTGTATTTAGAGGTTCTTCACTGTACTAACTAAAAGCTTCAGAACCATACCTTCATTCTCAGAACAATTCATATAACTGTTGGTTTTAAAAGATCACTACATTTGTTTTTAATAAAATTAGTCAAGTAGATAGATTATCAGAATGAAGATAAAAGAAGATTAAAGATAGATTATCAGAACTGGACGAAGAGAGGAAAAGAAAAACATTTGATGCACAAGATACACTTATTTTGAACCAAAAAGAAATTAAAGATAATACCTCTCCTTCACCTTCAGGCAATATTTTACCCATCTCCAAAGATACAAGCTTTCCAAGTGACGTCTTCTTCTGTCGAAGAGCATCTCCTATCTGTCGGACGATCTCTCCTCTTTGAGGAGCTGGAATATCAGCCCACACATTCCATGCTGTTTGCGTCGCTTTGATGGCATCCTCATAATCTTTTAAATTGCCTTGAACTACATCAGCTATGGGCTGGTTGTTTGCTGGACAATATGAAGTATGAACCTATAAGTTGAATTAATTTTAACTTAGGTGAAATAGTAGCATTTCAATCCAATTTATTGAGCCGTGATGGCTATGGGGAAACCAAGAGAATTTAAGGCATAGGGCGAGTTTCATGTTTTTCAGTGGTGCCATCCATGGCCAAGAATACGATATCAGCCGCACACACAACACCGCCTGTTTATAGAATGGACCCATTCATGCATTTCTTTAGGTAGAAAATCAAATGGTAGGATCTAGTTTTCTTACTTAATTTCTACACATTTTTGGTTGTCATCAGGATAAAATTAATATTAATCATACAGGTATATATTTTTGTATCTCTAAGACAAAAGTACCTGTTTAAAAGACACCTGTAAGGTTACTTGCAATATTTTGATAGTTATTAAAATTAAGAATTTAAAACCAAAAGAGTTATTTCGTTATTATTTTGGGGAAGATTTCTGTATTATAATCTGCGGCAGAATAAACGCTAAGTCTTAGCAACTTGCGAGCAATGGCAATTGAAAAACTAAACAAATCATCACATAAGGAGACCAAGTAAAATGGTATAACTTATAGCCATTCCCGATCATACATAGGTAATTTTTCCCCCGAAAAATTTGCAAGTTTCAAATCGATTTGGCATCTTGGCAGTTATAGTTGACAAAACAGATCATGATATAGAAATATTCCCATATAATGTAAATCTACGATATTGCCTAAATACGCTACATTTAAAGATATAACTTATTTGAATCATTGTTTAAATTTATATAAAATTGTTTTTTGTTAGAAATTACATAATTATAATATTTCAAATTACAGTTAGAGAAATTATTTAAAAGATTAAGAAACTTCATGCAGAATGTGATACAAGTATAAATTGTATTTATATCAGCATGTTTGGTAAACAAAAATATTAAATTACGGTTGTGCCCAGGGATATTTCCATATCGTGATCTGACACGCCAAGTAGCCTAATTGATTTTAAATGGGAAAATTTTTTAAAAGCCTGTACATGTTTTTTCTGGGGGTGGCAAAGAGTTATACTTTTTGAGTTGATCCCTTTCTGTGATTTTTTTCTTCATTTAGTTTCTCACAGGCCACTGCCCAGAGGTAGTGATTATTATGTCACAAATAGCAATTTGGAAATCTCCCAGTACACTTACCTAATAGCAATAGAACTTTAATTTTAAACATTATTCTTAAAAATGATTGCTAATTAATGTTATTTATGTACACTAATAGATCTTAAAAGAATTATCAGGGAAATGGGGGCATAAGCTTAAGCAAACAGCATTATTTTTAGTGCATGTACACTTAGTGAATAATTGATGAGAAAACTATGTTATGGCAAGAAACAACAATTATTGCTAATAGTGAGTGGTAGTGAACAAGGGACCTAGTTTTATTTTTAATATGATCACTTACCTCTCCACTGCCACACCAAGAACCATGATAAACGCCAAGATTTTTTTTTTCCAAACCTAAATCTTTCAAAAAAGCATACTTTGCGTCATCTATCAAATAGCTACTGGCACTGGCTTTAGACATAGTCCCTAATAAAATGATCTTTCTGCTAAGGACCTTGTTTAAATTTCTGATGGCCACAAGCATTCCAGCGATGATTAATTAATAGAGTCGACTGAAATATCAAAACAAATTAGACATCAAAAATATATTGTTTTAAATAAAAAATCCTATTTTACAACAAAAATTACAATTGAAAAATATACTTAAGATATTTCATTCACCGGCACAGACCTCCCTACCAGTAACAGACAGTAATCAAATCAGCTGCTATCATGTCAACAAATAAAGTCAAGGCTACAGTTAAAATTTACAGGTCCTAATTTCTTTTCCAAAACCAATTAGAGCAGAGCGCCATCTATTATTACAGAGAGCCATCTATGAAGCTAAATGAAGAACTTTTCAACAGAAGTTTGTTGTCACTGTGTTGTTTATAAACAAATAGCTATAAAATCGTAATTCTAAATTTATCTTTTGAAATGATGAATTGAATATATAAACTTTTGAAAAATGCATTTGGGTTTAAAAGAACTCAATTTTTGCCAACAATGAAACTACACACTATTTCTTTTAATTATTATTATAAGGAGACGTTATAAAATCAACCTTCTTTAAACAATTCAATTGATACAATGTGTGTCATAAAAAATTTACATAATGAATAATTTTAAATCGACCATGTATCCTTTCATTGAATGAATAAGAGCAAACTTTTTTTGAATGGTAAATGTGCTTGTAAAGGAAGAAATACTGGGGACCTATTGATTGATAAATAAGAGAAATTTTAGTAAGTATCGTTGTGCTAATAAAGGGATAAAAAAGTATAGAGTAAACCTATTGCTGCAGTTACGTTAAAATATTCACTTTACATTATTGCTGAAAAGATATCGTGTTCATAGTCCGGGTCCATGCTACATTCATTTTTTTTTTTTCGATTTGTGTTGTTTAATGTACTTTGGTGAGAGTTTTCTAATTGAAGAAAAGAATATTCATTATGATTAAGATCATATTTTTGCCTTGGTACAGGAATAAAACACGTATATATGAATATTCATTTATAATATTCAAAAGAAGGAATTATCAGCATTATAGTTAAAGAAAAGGCCTTATTCATACAGTTTGTGGTGAAAAACATTGTTTCAAAATAAAAATTTACATTCTTCTATTTATAGTAAAAAAGCATATTTATTTATGCAATGTGCATGATAGAGAATTTAAAGGGGACCTAAAATGCCTTTAGATTGATATTTTTGTGTTCAAACTCATATAAGTGTAAAATATATTGATGCATACTAATTAATTCTACATTCTTGAATTTTTCCTGGAGAAATGACTTATTCATGCAGTTTGTGTGAAAAAGCTTTCAATAGAGAAAGTCATTTAACTGACCATTTTCGTATTCACACAGGGGAGAAGCCTTATTCATGTGATTTGTGTGAGAAGAAATTTTCATTGAAGTGTAATTTAAAGAGGCATCGTCGTATTCATACTGGTGAAAGGCCTTATTCGTGCTGTGTGTGCGATAAAACATTTAACCAGCAAAGCCAGTTGACCAGCCATTCTCGTATTCATTCTTTGGAACAACCTTACACATGCTGTGTGTGTAATAGAAGATTTTCACACAAGAGTAATTTAAATATACATTACCGTATTCATACCCAAGAGAAGCCGTACGCTTGCAGTAAATGTAATAAAACATTCAGAGAAACTAATAAATTAAAAATACATTTTCGCATTCATACGGGAGAGAAGCCTCATGCGTGCAGTGTGTGTCATAAGAGATTTTCTATCAAACATACCTTAAAATATCACTGTATGTACGCATGTGCAACAATTAAGAACTCTGCTTAAAAACATTTTTGTATTCATGCTCATTTAGATCTAAGTTATCTCAATTTTTTCTTAAATTGTCTTCCTTTTTGAATGCAATGTCTTAATTTTAACCCACTGATGGTTCCGCACGTAAAAAGTTGTATTTTAACCAGCAGTTTTCTCTGCATAGCAAAACTGGTTTTTTCAATGTTATTAGATAGGGAAATAGTGTGTAGGGGTAACACATTGTTCCAATTTTGCCCATTTGCTAAATCGTCAGTGGGTTAATTAAATCGTTAATTGCCTTAATTAAACTTTTCATTTTTTCAACAAAAAAATGATTGTAGAAGTATTTCACTGTTAGTATTTATTTCGTAGAAACAAGATAATTCTGTCTACCATAATATATTTACATTATATTTGAAGTCAATGTTATTGCACAGTGTATGGAATATTTACTTATAACTTTTTTCGCATACTGATCTTTTTTTTTTTTCTTTTTTTTTTGTAGTCTGGTATTAACAGATTCCCTGATTATCCAGACTTATCTTTGGTTCATTAACAAATCATTACTAAAAATTGGTTACAAAAAAAATCATTACTAAGTTATGCACGCTAATAATAAAAAAATTTTATTGTTAAAAGTTCTTATGATATATATATTACCGTCAATGAGGGAAATCAAGAGAATGTCCAATAACAATCACATAGTCACTTTGGTGAATATTCTAAATATTTGTCATATGCGATTTGATGTTATTTTATTCGTTGTCATTATAATTATTCGATATTTTAATGTCTGCTGAGGATAGATTAGGAGAAACATCAGTGTTTCAAGTACCGCTTAAATGCATACTGGGTAGTGGCACTTAAAAAACATCAATGTATTATGACATACCGGGCAGCGAAATATATATATATTTATTTAAGACATTTATATATTTAAGACATTTTCATACATTACATACATTAAGACTTAAAACAGATATATATTTAAGACATTTTCCAAAGCAACTACATGATTGTCAACATTCACCGGTAGAAGTCAACAACCACATAAAATAAATAAAATGTAAAAATATTTTGAAAGTCTTTGCATAATCATAATATAATAGCTTGTTTCTGCTTAAGAACTCTATTCTTGATTTGAGATGTGTGACCATAAAAACATTTTATACATAATTTTAAATTTCTATAAAGTTGTCAATCAATTATGACCTGCTTATTTTATTTTTTAAATTAATAATCATTTAATTCAATTGCGTAAAAAAAATGCAAAATTAATGTTAGTTAACTTTTTGTGTAAAAAAAAGTTATTGGAAGTATTTTTCAGACTTAAATAAAAAAAATATTAAAAAAGTTTACCCAAAAAGCATTTTGAAATAAAAATGCAATGGGTATATAAGCTAAGCATTTTTATCAGTTAATTATTATATGGGCCCTATATTTATCATATTTAATAAATTTCAGATAATTAAATTATTATTTTTAAATATTTTTTAACTAAATAATAAAGAGATATTTTGAAATGACGCATCTGAATCATAGAAAACTTCTTTCTGTACTTGCTAATATAAAGTGATAAAATTGTGAAAAGAGCTCTTCAATTCAAAGTTTGTTTTCTTTTTTTTTTAAAAATCTTGTCTCTAAAAATTGTGTACTATTTTTTATTATTACTTGATAACATAACTCAAAAATACTGAAAATTTTAATAAGAAATCCAATAATGTAAGAGTGAAATTTTTAAATGTTAATGTTTAATGTCTGTCAATAAAAATTCTGAAATGTTTTATACAATTATTGAACGGTTCCTCAGGAATGAATTTCCACAATTAAAAAAATCTCAGTCAATTCATATCATTATTAGTTAATCAAATGAATAAAAGGTTGACTAAAATTTAAAAGTGATTAATATCTGTGATTGTTGACTGCTCTTGACCCACATGAAAATAGTGATCTCTAAATCAAGTGCAAGAATTACTGTGCCTACTGATCTATGTATAAATAGAACAGTGCAAGAATGTGGCCAGCATTCCTGTGATGAATATTATTGCATTTCAGTGAAAAAATTCTGGATTTTGAGAGAGAAAATTTGACAATGTCTAGCTCGTTCTCTTGGTCTGCAAAAATGAAAGAGATTTTCAGTTTGACATCAAAGGGTGGGAGATCAAGTTTGAAATAGAAGTTCTCTTGCAAAATGGAACAAAACATATGTGGTTGCATCAAATCCTTGATTGTTGCATTGCACCTTTATCCTTCCCACCAAATCCATCTTAATGTACATGCATGTGGTTTCGCAAAGTTCAAATTTGTCCTTTTCTGTGATGACAGATGACGGTATGCCAAAATGGATTGTGGTTAAATGAATTGTTTAAAACATTGAACAGAACAGTGTGAAAAAAATATGCTTTTGCATAATTTATCTACATGGCAAAGAGAAAAACACATTTTACAAATACCCAATGATCTTTAAGGGCCTTTAAAAAACTAAAATCAGAAATAAGCACTTTTTGATAGCACAGCCTAGTATGTATCGATATATTGCAATTAAATATCCTTAGAAAGGGAGCCAATAAGATAGCATATTTGCCTCCCAATGAGGTTATACCAGTTTATCTCTCAGCAGTGGTGATTGATGCGGATTCTGCTTGCTGCAACCACACTCCTGATGTAAAAATGTCCTTAGTGGTAGACAGATCATGGGTTAGAATCTGCTTTTTGTTCAACTAACTGTGAGACATTTTGATAGTTTTCCTCTCCATGATAAATGGGGGTTGGTTCCATAAAAAAATTCTCCATGAAAGTTAGTTTGGCCCAATGTTTGATCAAGGAGTTCCCAATGTCTTCCAAAGTAGGTTCAAAATTTCAAGTCTACAGATTTGGGCATTGATAGTCGTTTCCTCGGATCCGGGTTGGCTGTTCGACGCTGGTTCTATAATATACAATAAAATTATAAAATGACGCAAAAAAGGAAATATCTTCATTTTGATACCGGTTTTCTTCTGCTGCAAGCGTCGAATATTCCATTCTTATTTCATTATGCCAGATTAATCTTTGAAAAAAGATAATTATAGCAAAAATATCTGTAATGGTATAAAGCTAAACAAAATAAATGGAGCTTAAATTAAGGTTACAGAAATATACATACCATAATCTTCCTCAGCATCTACATGCAAAATGACAGTAGGAGAGTTACAAGACAAACAGGTGGAAAATGGTTTAACCAGTAGAAAAAGAGGGACAAATTTGAACAAGATAATAAAAGGAAGATAAGAAGCGGGAGAGGATTTCGCAAGAATCTCAGGTGGTACACAATGTAAGAAATGAAATTAGAATAAATTTCCAAAAGCTGGGATACTAGAAAAATCATGAACTAAATTTAAGCATGCTAGGTGGGGTTATATGGGAAAAGTAACGTAACTTTCTGATTAAACTCAAAGATTTCATTATGTGTTGCTAAAGATTTGTGAGGACCCGTTTGCGATTACATTGCAGCTTCAGATTATTATTTATTTCAAAGTTTACTAAACATTTTAAAAATTGTAAAAATTTCAATTATAACAATGAGCAAAAATTGCACTTGGCTGAGTTTTTTGCAAGGACCAAAAGGTGTATGAGAGCATGGGATTAGCGATCGCTCTTGTGGCCCGGACATTGCACCATCAGATTATTATTTACTTCGAAGTTTATGAAATGTTTTAAATTGTGAAAATTTCAGTAGTAACAATGACCACAAATGACACTTGGTTGAGTTTGTAATCGACAAACTCAACAATCAAAACATTTCGTAAAACAAACAAAATGGAAGATATTTGACAGATTAAATTTTGAAAAAAAATAAGTTTTATTTCAGACTAAAAAACCAAAATTGCTTTTTGCCAACAGAATATTTTTTTTTTATTGAATGATTTCTTGTAAACAAAACAAATAATGTTCAATTTTCATTTTATATAAAAATGAATTGGATGTAACGGAGAACTGTTTTCAGAAATAATGTTAAATATCTGTCAAACAAATGTTCAAAGTAAGAGTTTTATTCATATATGAGTAATATTTCAGAGTAAATCTGCTTCAATTCATATGTGTCACAGGCTAGTTAAATAATTGAACACTTTTCAAACATTTCCAGGCTAGATAGACAAATCTCCAGTATTTTCTAATCATCCACACTTTTGCTGAGAACCCACATACTTTTAGGTTTATAAAAATAAATTCATCGCCAATTAGTGTGATTTATCTCTGGCAGTTTGCAGTATGACTCCAGAGTAGTGAAGACTTATTGTGATTAGCTCTATTACCTAAATCGTTTACTGCAATAAGCTTAAACAAAGTATGCCTGATAGATGCTTAATTCTTCGTATATTGCCAAAATTTAACAGGCCTTAAGATATCAGGCAGATTAGAAAATAATGAAGACCTTTGGAAATAGCCTGCTGCATTGCAAAATGTCAGCCATATTTACAAAAAGCCGAATTTTTAAATTTGTCTATGAAACATGCAGCTTCAGTGCATGCATACACTCAAATGATACTTAAAATATCTCAATGTTAACTTTCTCTGGGTGCAATCTGAAAGCAGTTGTCTTGAAGTATTCTTTTTTGTGTTTAGACGACAAAATATGTCGTTACACCATTCAGAGTCATTCTAGAACACTCCAAAAAAGAAGGAAAGCTACAAGCATATTCCAAAGGGGAAAAAAATCATTCGGAGACATTACAGAACGTCAACAGCATTTTTTCTTTTTCTTCTCTACAGCTAAGGGTGGAATGTCTGTCAAACTGATAGGTTGGTCTTCACAATTTTTATAAGGAATCTCGGATTTTTGGCTAATAATTGAAAAGTCATTTGATTCCTTAGTTCTAGAAATGGAATTGTATTCATGAGTAGGAGCAACACCTGTGCTAACAGGTCCCATCTGAAGATTCCACATTTTTTCAATCAACAATTTAAAAACCTGTAAAAAGTTAGAATATCGATACTGTTATTATGATTAAAAATTTTAACTTAAGGTGTTAGAAATATTAGTGCTTTTATTAACATTTTTGTTAGTAAATTAAAACACACGTAATAACCTCTCAAAAGAGAAGTTTTATGGACTTGCATAGGTATCTTTCTGTATATAAATTCTTAAATTATGATGCTCCGTGATAGAATTGAAAAATGCCATTAAAGCATTTTGTACTATGCAGGAAATTCTTAGAAAGCTATTAATCTACTCAATTTTTATAAGCTATGACAAAATATTAAGCAGATAAATTTTCAAGGGAGAAATAAACTAATTTTTAATCCCAATTATCGATGTTTATCAGAATAATGGGTAGCTTAAAATCATCAAAAATGAGTTTGTTTGGTAGGGCTGGATTCTGTTCTCGTTTTATTGATCGTACTCAGGATCTAAACTTTCTTTCGATCAAGCGACTTTGATATTGATTGGTCTGGATTAGATAACCTAAAGTGTGAGTTCTGCCATGTTTTGAGTATTATCCCTTATTTGGCTATATTTATGTAAAATATAGCCAAATAATTTATTTTTTTTTGCAGCATCATAGCAGGTTTGCAGAGTCTTCTGAATTCATTTGTTGTTTATTTCGTTGGAAGTAATATTTAAAAAAACATTAAAAATATAACAAAATTTTATGGAATTTGTTAAACAAGTTTGATAACATTATAATTTTTTATTTAAAGAATTCAATTTAAATTTTTTTTATTAATATACTGGTAAAATCTATTAAAATAAGGGTTTCCCGTTCCCTCCTACCAGCCGCCTATACTTTTGTTACAAGTAACAAAAGTAAAAGTATTTCCATGTATGATTAGTCCTTTTGATAGAGAAATAAAACATTTCTAATCTAAATTTTAATAGTGATTCATTGAAGACAGTTCAGAAAAGAACTCTTGATTTATTAAGAAAGTTCCAGGAGAATCTTTTAATGAACATATAAAATTCGCTTGAAAATATTAAGTTCGTAATCTCAACAATAATTTAGTAAGTCCTTTATGGAGTATTAAACTTTAAAATTTTTTGTAGCCCGAAAAAATTTTTTCATATGAAAAAAATTTTGAAATGAAGATGAACTTCGAAACTTGGTGAAAATGAAACATTGGAAGAGAGGTCATCGGAAGATAGGGAAAACTATTGTCAGTTTTAATTTTCTTCTGATTGAACGCAAATGATTCAGTATATAAATTATTTATGTCACAAGAAATTTAAAATAATTTATTGGGACAAGAAAATACTTATTTACTAAATCTTATCAATAAATAGAATACATTTCTAACACTCAATACGTTAAAACTTTTCTCATAATATACAGGGTGTTTTATAAAGTCCCGGACCCATTTTGATGTTTAATAACTCATAAAATAATAAAGATAGATTAAAATTAATAACATAAATGGTTAGATAGACTCAAAAAGTTTCATGCCCCTTGTAAATGAACTTCCACGTGTGCCCTCTTCGTCCCACGGAGATTATCAAGTCGATAGTCAATTTCACGCCAGGTAGCGGCAAGCATGTCGGCATCCACAGAGGCTATTGCGGTTGTAATTCTGGCTTTTAGGTCATCAATTGGCGATCGAAATGGGCTGCAGGTGGCGAAGAGCAGAACTCTTTTCCTATGGCAACACTTCACATGCTTTCCCCATTAGCGTGTGGAAAGTCATAGAGGAAGGAAGTACGTTAGTTTCTCTCTTGATTTTCATATAGATTAAAATCTTTTAACTTGAAAAACTATATGGAACTGAAAACTACATTAAACATA